ACAGGTAGAATGTATCTTGAGTCCTGCCTTGCTGGAGGGTATACTTCAAATCACCACCTTTCCCTTTCTTGAGGGTATACCTACTAGGAATCTCCTGGGAAGATTCGCCCTCCTCTTGCTCCGGCTTTGTGTCTTGGATCACTTTGTGTCTTGGATCGTCGTCATCTCACCCCTGGATTTGGGACAGCAACCATCATCTGATCCGCTGATCGAGGTTCATCAAACCCCTAGAATTGGGAGGATCCGCCAGACCTACTCACGGACCTGGGACTCGCCAGCCTGCCAGCCTCCACTGCTACTACATGAGACAAACCCTTGGGTGTCTGTGAGTTCTGTGAGGCATTACAGTGAAATACTGAACCCTAAGACTGGGGAGGGAGCTCTGGTAGCATAGTGGCTAAGGCACTTGACTGCTAACCAGAAGGCTGGCGGTTCAAACCCACCAGCCACTCCTCGGAAGGAAGGTTGGGCAATCCTACTTCCGTAGTGATACTGCCTCGGAAACCCAAGGAGGGGTCGCTATGAGTCAGGGCTGACTCGACGGCACATAACAACAACAACAACAAGACTGGGGAAATTACTGGGAGAAGGAGGAGGAATTAATGTCTGAAATGATGGAGTGGCATGGTAGTTTGGACATTTGGGATATCTTTAACCTCCGCCTCATGGGGACCAGCCTGGTGCTGATCTTTCTAAGAGAAACCGTTCAAGCAGGTGTTATTAGATTAGGCAATACTATTAATATCCTTTTAAAACAAGCTTTTCTTTTTTAACACATCTAACGGAAGTGGACAAGGCATCTGGCTGCTAACCAAAAAGCTGGTGGTTCAGACCAACCTGTTCTATGGTAAAAAGATGAAGCAATCTGCTTCCACAAAGATTTACAGCCTTGCAATTCCTTAAAAAGCTGGAAATAGAAACACCCTTTGATCCAGCAATCCCATTACTAGGCATATATCCTAAAGAAATGAGAGGCAGGACAGGAATAGATATATGAATATCTATATTCATCTATCTGATAGATAGATAAACACCCATGTTCATCACAGCACTACTCACAATAGCAAAGAGATGGAAACAACCCAGATGCCCATCAACAAAAGAATGGATAACCAAACTATGGTATATACACACAATGGGATACTATGCAACACTAAAGAATAATGTAAAATCTGCAAAACACCACATAGTGTGGATGAACTTGGAGGACATTATACTGAATGAAATAAGTCATTAACAGAAGGACAAATATTGTATTAATTCATTATTGTAAAAAGTCAAGGAAAGGTTTCTATATGGAAGGAAACTCTCTTTGCTGGTTACCAGGGATGGGAGGGGAGGGAAAATTGCTAGATAGGTAAGAGACAAGTAATGATTTGGGTGAAGGAAAGGCAATATACCAAAAGTGAGTGACCAACATAATAACACTAAGGAAAAGGAAGACACAGAAAGGTGTACAAGAGGTATAGACGACAAAGATAAACACTTTTACATATACGATACTGCATTATCAACAATAACAAACATTAATCTACAGGTAAATAGATGGGTAGACAGGCTGAATGACTAGGTATGTCTAGGCAAAAAGGAATATACCAATGACCATATATAAGGTTGGCAGATATTTCTACACATGTATTTGTATGTGCTATAAGAATGTCCATATAAATAGAACGAATAGGGGGCAAAGTTATGATAACCTCTTTGTCACAGTCAACCACCATGATGGACTGAGTTGCTGGTCTTGTGGGCTAGGGACCATGGTTGAGGGGGATATCAAGCTCAACAGGCATAATGTACTACACAAAAACATTGTTCTATATCCTACTTTGGTGAGTAGCGATGGGTCTTAAAAGCTTGTAAACAGCCATCTAGATGCAACAACTGGTCTCTACTTGTCCGGTGCAAAGAAGAATGAAGAAAACCAGAGACACATGGACACAAATAGTCCAAGGGACTATTGGACCATGGGAACCTCAGCCTATATGACCATGAGACTAGATGGTGCCTGGCTACCCCTGTCAGCTACTCCCAATACAGGAGATCCTGGACAGAGTGGAATTACAATGTGGAACAAAACTCAAAATCATAAAAAGATAAGGCTTACTGGTCTGCAGGAGCTCTGGTAGCGTAGTGCCTAAGGCATTTGACTGCTAACCACAAGGCTGGCGGTTCAAACCCACCAGCCCCTCCTCAAAAGGAAGATGGGGCAATCTACTTCTGTAGTGATACGGCCTCGGAAACCCAAGGAGGGGTTGGTTGGTATGAGTCAGATATGACTCAACGGCAGTGAGTTTGGTTTTTTTTTTTTGTTTTTTGTTTAATAATACTCTAAATCAAAAGAGCTTTACTTTCTCCTATTTCTTTAGTAGGGCATACCTTTAAAAGGTAAAGGCAATTTGCTTCTACTCTTCACTTGAAATTTTATTTTATTTACTTCCAATTACAAAATCTTCTTTTAAGAAAAAAGCTCACTACAAACAGCCTAAACAACAGTTACAATAAGTATCATCCAGTCAGAGTGCTTGCCAAATACAAGTTCTTGTTACATACGTGATAAGGATTTCATGATGGTTTACACAAATGTTTTATTAGGCGTACTTAGAATCACAAAGGAGCTCTGGTGGTGCAGTGCCTAAGGCATTTAACTGCTAACCAGAAGGCTGGGTTCAAACCCACCAGCCACTTTGTGGAAGGAAGACCAGGCAATCTACTTCCTTAAAGATTTACTGCCTCAGAAATCCAACCAGTGTCGCTATGAAGGTTGAATCAACTCAATGGCAGTGGGTTGGTTTGGTTTTTTTTAAGAATCACAAAGTGACTCAGGGATTCACTGCCTGAAAAAAAAAAAAAAGATAAACAGCAAACACAGGACCTGAAAATAGATATAACACAGAATCTCTTTGCATGGAAACATTCATCATTTCATCTAGTTTTTTTCTATTTTGGTTCCCTGCAAACAGATTCACTTTAAAACAACAAAACACAGGAAGAAATCAAACCAGCAACAACCATCTTTAAAAAAAATTGCAGCTCATTTCCTTATCAATTTTATGAAGGCAACAGTTAATTTCTCTTTTTAAAAATGCAGCATGTATTTTACTGTTTTATTTATTTATTTATTTATAAAGTATAAAAGTCCAAAGAGAAAACAGTATTCTTCCCACATAATTAAACATTCAATTTACCAATCTAAGCATATCCAGGCATTTGCCAAGCCTGTGACTTCCATGGCCAACAGAGAACAGCAGCTCATAATACTCACATTTAAAAATGTGTATAAGTAATCTGTTATCAATCACCAGCTTATATTCTTTCCACAGCACACTGATTATTTGTGATACATCCTCAAAGAACGAATTTCTAAATCACAGGTATTAAACTCATACATGTACCGATATACATTCTTTCCACACTTAACCTGTATTTTGTTAATCAGTTTGCATTCCTTTCCAAAAAAGTACTTAGAAAACAAAGTTCATCTATATACAAAATACCTAAGACCTGTAAAAGGAAGTCATCTTAAAGTGGTAATATATTAATGATTATAAAGTTTAAAAAAGTAGTAAAAATTTTGAAGTTGCCAACAGGATCAGAAAATATTTTAGTACATTTCCTGAAAGGATGCTTTCTATTATTACCAGTAGAATTTCAAACTAAGAAGCTATATTTTTAACTATTTATAATTTAGTAAATTAAGAAAAAGAAAATAAAGGAATGAACAATAGGACACGCCAGTTCAAACAGCCTATTCAGAAAAATAAAGGGATTACAGATACCTTTTGGGGTAAAGCACTTATTTTTATACATTTTACATATAATTTAAAAACATATTATTTAAATTTGTGACTTCAAATGGGTGATGTGGAGAGATGCTTTGATATATTTGGTTCTTGCAGAAATAATGCCAAACTGACTTCTTAGTAACAGCTATCTTAGTGGAAGCCAACATAAAGAAAAACACCAAATCAAAAATCAAACTCACTGCCGTTGGTTGGATCCGACTCATAGCAACCTCTCCTTGGGTTTCTGAGGCGGTATCACTATGGAAGTAGATTGCCTAGTCTGCCTTCTGAGGAGTGGCTGATGGGTTTGAACCACCAGCCTTCTGGTTAGCAGTCAAATGCCTTAGGAACTAATACACATTTGTATGAATTTTTAAAAAATCCTCAAATAGTCACAAGTATGCAGTAATATAAGGATTTTAGTAGTACCAAAAAAGGAAAGGAAAAAAAAAAAGCCAGAAGTTACATTTAAATGTTTAAACATGGAATTTTATGCCATGTCTATTACATAAAATACTAGATTGCATACATGTATTACTTCCAGATATATTTTTTCAGCTTGGTGGTATATCTAGGTTGAAAAATAACTGATAATCAAGAAACCAAACAATATGCAAGGGACATAAAATTGCTAATTTACAAATGTATATGTAGGAAAATAATTTTAGATATAGAATTTAATATGCCTTACTGCCTGAGATTTCTGTGAGAATCCTCTTTAAGCACAAACCTGGACTTAGGATGAAGTCTCTGAGCAAAATACCTCTATTGCTCCAAATTATGTAACTAATGAGCAGATATTTAAGCAGAAAAGAAATCATTTAAAAACTATTTGCTGTGTAAACTTCACCCAAGTCACCATACAAGTTTAAAAAAATAAAGTACCCTCCCCTGGCTGCTGCTAAATCATAAATGCATCTAGAAAGGCAGATAAATGTCTATATCTAGATAATCTTAAAAATTTTAAGTAAAAATTCAAAATATTAGGGTCATCTGTCTTTCTCAAAATTTATAAATCCAAAGTCACACTAATACAGACACACATATTATTATTTTGGTTAATAAACAAAATAACAGATCACAAAAGTGATCCCTGAATGTGTTTGGAGTTAGTCTTTATAAATTAAGAAATGTACGTTTAGATATATGTTCCCCCACAAATCTCTGTACTCAATCATGTCTCCTTGTTAGGCAACTACAAAACATGGCACTCACCAGTATAAAGTAGTATGCATATAGTGCTGTACAATGGTGAACTATAAACATTTTGTCACCAATCACTCTCCAATAGAAAATGAGAAGCAATAAATCTGTAAGATGGAAAAATTAGAAAGGTATTACAAAGGAAGAAAGCTGCATTGTTACACAAATCTATTTAACTCTTTCCTTCATTACTATCTACTCTGGCCCATGGAAGTTTGTTCATACCTCAGCTAGTCCAATAACCCACTTTTATCATAGACTATCTGCTTTGACAGGAGCTCTGGTAGCAGAGTGCCTAAGGCACTTGACTGCTCACCAGAAGGCTGGCAGTTCAAACCCACCAGCCACTCCTTGGAAGGAAGGTTGGGCAATACTACTTCCGTAGTGACACTGCCTCGGAAACCTAAGGAGGGGTCGCTATGAGTCGGGACTGACTCGATGGCAAACAACAACAACAACAACATCTGCTTTGACAGAACTGCCTCACCTGCTTTGGGATCATGGGCATTGTTGGTTCAATGGTAGAATTCTCACTTGCCATTTGGGAGACCCAAGTTTGATCACGAGCCAATGTACTTCAGGCTCAGCTACCACCGGTCTATCAGTGGAGGCTTGTGTGTTGGCATTGATGGATGAAGAGGTTTCAGCAGAGCTTCCAGTTTAAGGCAGACTAGGAAGAAAGGCCTGGCGATCTACTTCCAAAAAAGCAGCCAATGAAAACTCTATGGATCACAATAGTCGCATCCTGTCATGCATGGAGTTGACAGAATCTAACACTCACTATATTGTGGTTACTTCAGGATGAGTGCCAAGTTGTAGGCATCTTTATAATTACAGAATCTAGCACCAAATCGGGAGCTCAAATCGGGAGCTCTGGTAGCATAGTGGCTAAGGCACTTGACTGCTAACCAGAAGGCTGGCGGTTCAAACCCACCAGCCACTCCTCGGAAGGAAGGTTGGGCAATCCTACTTCCGTAGTGAAACTGCCTCGGAAACCCAAGGAGGGGTCGCTATGAGTCAGGGCTGACTCGACGGCACATAACAACAACAACAACAACAGCACCAAATCAAAAAACCCATTGCCATCGAGTCAACCTCCATTGCTACAAGAGTAAAACTGAGCTCCAAAGAGCTTCCTCAGCTGTAATGTTTACAGAAGCAGATCAGCAGGCCTTTCTTCTGCAGCTGTCTTGGGTGGGGTCAAATCACCAACCTTTCAGCTAACATCCCAGTACAAGTCATTTGTGTCATGCAGGGACCCATGGTGTCTGCCATACAGGAATGTAACATAAAATTTGTTGACTGAATAAATTAATGTAATAATGTCTGGGGTTAAAAAATTAAATTATCAAATAACTTTTTTAAAAGCTTAAATTATTGATTTTCATCATTACATCAATTTGGACAGAGATCAGATGATAGTAGAAATGGTAGAAAGTAACCAACTGATTTACAACACAAATTCAACAAATAATGTACAAAATGAACAAAGGGCAAATTAAATATAAATTTTAAATAGCAAAACCACTAAGAACTATAACTAATAAGAAGATACACAAAGAAAAGGTTAAGTCATCCACTTTTCTTTAAAACATCCTAAATGAATCTAAATACGCCACCAGAGATCCCAATCTAACTACCATGTTTAGAAAATAGTTTCTATTAACAAAACAGAAACTTCTCGAAATGTCAATGTAACTTTTTATTTTGTTTTTTTAACCAACTGGTTAAACATGAAATTTAGACATAGAAACAAATAACTAACGAAAAAATTACAAATACAAGTTAGATATGGATATTTAGACAGAGAAAATTATAAATTTTAAAGAGAAAATAAACACAAATGTGAGATATCAAGCCAAGTAATATAATATTATTGATTAACTATCTGATATACTTATCTAAGCACACTTTCATACATATGCTGGCTGCATACTCTTTGGTCATCAATTCATATGACAATGATTTCATAATCTTTTCTGTAGAGAGAATTTTAAATATTTCCTTTTCATTCAGTTTTTTTTTTTTTTAATTTCTGATAGCTTAGAAAATCTTCTTTCAGCTTTATAGCTCGTTTGTAAATTTTTCGGATTATCTTATTTGAGAAAACCAAGAAAGAAAATCAAGTTTCTTTTATATGAGATTTTTCTGGGTAGTGACTAATCTGAATAGACACCATTCATTAATCAATGTATGTGGTGTATTTTGAATTTTTTGTCATCCTTGACAAGGACAACATTTTGTGTTTAACCAGAAAACCTTTTTCCAATGTATTCATGTAATTCACTCTTCTTGTAATTAGATTAAACAATCTAATAACCTACTAATTATTTCTACTTAAAATTTATCTCTTCCTTTTAAAGAATTGCTGTGTTGTTCTATGATCTAATTTTTTCACTGTAATTTATTTCTCAGTGTCAGAAAAATGTTTTTTGATTTCATCATTTATCATTTTAGTTTCATATTCCATTCTTTTTATTTGATTGTTTCTCGATTTTTATTTTTATATTTTTTAATTTAACAAGTGCAACTTTTTTGTCACATTTTCTTGTTTTTTTATTTTGTATTATCTCTCAATTTTTAAATAAACTTAAAAATCACAAAATAAAGTTCCTATATAAATGTCCACATCATGAATCTGTTTTCTCTCGTTTCATTGAGACAGTCCAAAATGTCTTCTACAGTTAAAATGACATTGTTGTTGTTGTTGTTATGTGCCTTCGAGTTGGACCCAACTCATAGCAACCCTTCCCTGGGTTTCCGAGGCAGTATCACTACGGAAGTAGAAGTAGATTGCCCAACCTTCCTTACAAGGAGTGGCTGGTGGGTTTGAATGCCAGCCTTCTGGTTAGCAGTCAAGTGCCTTAAGTACTATGCTACCAGAGCTCCTAAAAATGACATTACAGAAAAAAAACCAAAAAACCCACTGCCATCAAGTCAATTCTGATTCATGCTGTTGTTGTTATGTGATGTCAAGTCAGACCCAACTCATAGCAACCCCTCCTTGGATTTCAAACGTAGTATCACTACAGAAGTAGATTGCCCAAACTTCCTTCAGAGGAGTGGCTGGTGGGTTTGAACCGCCAGCCTTCTGGTTAGCAGTCAAGTGCCTTAAGCACTACACCACCAGAGCTCTTATAGTGACCCCCAGTGTTTCCGAGGTGGTAAATCTTTATAGAAGTAGATTGCCCCATCCTCCTCCTGAGGAGTGGCTGGTAGGTTTGAACTGCAAACCTTCTGGTTAGCAGTCCTACCTTAACTTCCCTTTACCTAATTGTATAAATGCCCTTGGCTAATGCGACTCCATCTGTAAACATGAGGGGAAAGATAAGAGGGGAATGTGGAATAGAAAAAGCCTAGATTTTAATTGATTATGCCTAAAAACAACTTAATTTGCAAATTTTAACAAAACAAAACAGGAAAAATGTCTCTGTTGCTGCAGATACTTTTCACCCCCTCTGTGTGAACCCTGAAAGAGTCATCCTAAATAAATAAACCAAAAGCATACACTTTGTACTCTGCACAATTCCATGAGTATTTTAAAAAGTAAACAGTAAACTACGTATCACATACCAGATATGAGGTAGCCTGAAGTAATAATAATATTCAAATTCACAAGTGATGAATCACCCCTATAAATATTAAAAAAAAAAATTAAGTTTCCTTTTTTTTCAATACATGTGTTATAAATGACACCTTTCTAATGAGATTTAAATATAATGAAAACATTTTCTGTAGTTTCTCAAATGTTAAGTTGTCATTTTCAAATATAAATAGTAAAACACACAACAGTTTACCAGAACTGAAATGATCCTGTAGTACTGATACTTGCAGGCATATGCTGTCCTCAGGATAATCTTAACCCACACCCCCTGAGAAATCTTGTGAGCTTCCTATCCAAGACGACTCATATCAATCAAGAAACCTTCTGTAGTCCATAATTTCTTTGAAGTTTACTCTAGGCCCAAGCAGTCTCCAAAATTTCCTTGAGACTAAATGATCAACTCTCAGAATCCATACTAGGCTTAAATTCTCTGAAGTACCTAAAGCATAGTTGTTGTTATGTGCCGTCGAGTCGGACCTGACTCATAGGGTCCCCTCCTTGGGTTTCCGAGGCAGTATCACTACGGAAGTAGATTGCCCAACCTTCCTTCCAAGGAGTGGCTAGGGGGTTTGAACCACCAGCCTTCTGCTTAGCAGTCACATGCCTTAGGCACTACTCCACTAGAGCTCCCATATATAAGAACCAACACAAGCATAATGAGGTCCCCAAATTAGGAGAAGATCTCCTAAGGGCAGCTAAGAATCCCCAATGCATTTTGAATTAAACACAAGTTTGAATAACCATTCCCAGAATCTCCAAATCCAGGGGGGTTAAAATAAGAGTTTGGGGTGTTTTGTTTTGTTTTTGCTTTCTCCCACCACTCAAATTTGGGAGCATCTAAATCACTAGTGGAATTTATGATGGATTTTAGAGGATATTTAAGGACCTGCTACAGTTAACACTCCAATGTATTAAGTCACATAAAAAAATGTCTCTGTAGGAATTCTGGATCCCACGCTAAGCCTTGCAATGCAGAAAATACTATGTTAGCTATGCTAGTACCTCTAACTGCACGAATAACCACAATTTCTCATACATATTAACTAAATGTTTTAATAAGATAATTTAACCAAAAGATAACTTTTTATAAATGTATTCTCAGATGAGTTGTTTGCAAGTGGATCCAAATGGAATTGCAGATGCTGACTTTTTTTTTTTTTTTGACTCATTATCTGGAATCAGAAAAATAAATACATTGAGAGATCTTCCGGTCCAGCCTCTGATTTGGAAGCAATATGGTATTAACAGGAGCTCTGGTATTATCAAGAGCCCAAAGCACTTGACTGCTAACCAGAAGGCTGGAGGTTTATACCCACAAGCCACTCCTTGGAAGGAAGGTTGGGCAATCTACTTCCGTAGCAATACTGCCTTGGAAACCCAAGGAGGGGTTGCTATGAGTCAGGTCTGACTCGATGGCACATAACAACAACAACACAGTATTACCATCATCATTTTACTGAGGACTAGAGGGATTTCCCTTTTATCATACAATCATAGAGATCCCTCCTTGTGTTTCTAAGGTGGTATCACTACAGAAGTAGATTGCCCAATCTTCCTTCCGAGGAGTGGCTGGTGGATTTGAACTGCCAGCCTTCTAGTTAGCAGTCAAATGCCTTAGGCACCATGCCACCAGAGCTCCCCCAGGAAATAATCAGAGTAGGATAATTTAACCCTGCTGTTTCAATCCTTAAATCCACTGCTGTCAAGTTGATTCCAACTCATAGTGACCCTACAGAACAGAGTAGAGCTGCCCCATAGGGTTTCAAAGGCTGCAATCTTTACAGAAGCAGACAACTGCTTCATTTTTTTCCTGCTGAGTGGCTGGTGGATTTGAACTGCCAACCTTTTGGTTAGCAGCCAATCACTTTAATCACTGTACCAGCTGGGCTCCTTTTCAGCCCCTACACATATCAATATCGTACACTTTTGCCCTACTAATGCTCTTTGTTCCAAGAAGCAAATATAAATTATCAGTCCTTTATCTGATGTGTAACGTGAACTACTGATAAAATATTTAAAACTCAATAGGAAAAAAAAAGTAGGTGTCATTTATAGCAAAATAAAACTGTTCACAGCTGAAACTACATATGGAAAGATTTAGTACAAGTCATGTCTTCTTTACAAATTTGGATCCGAAAAATATGGCCCCTGAAAATTGAACTGGAATAAATTACAACATAAAAAATAATGGCTAGTGGTTGGATAAAGAAAAAAAAAAAAACAGTAAGTCAAATATTTGTTATAAAATTTACTTCCCAAAAGAACTAGTTCTTCTGAAAATCATCTAAGTAAAAAGGAAAAGGAAAAAAAAACCTCTTTTTGTTTAGGTATTTTATATTATTTAGGTAGACAATATAGAAACCTGGCCAAGGAACTGAATTCACTAAATTGATTCACTCCAAAAAATAGCTTCCCAATGAAAACTCATCAATATTGGCATAATACCTGATGGGAACAATTCCATAATAATGAATTAAAAAATAGCATCCATGCAGTCAAACAGTGGTGGTCAAAGAACCCGGTCAAACTATCCCAGAGCCCATATCTACCAAGTTCAAATGCAGCACTTTCTCAAAACACTAAGCTCCAACTAAGCTGAACCCAGGCTCTCATAAAGCATAGGAAATACATCTGTAAAATCACTACGAGAATGCCATTTAAACTTTTCAAAAGGAACCATCTTACAAATCATCCCATCTCTGACAAACACAGTAATTATTAATACCTCAACTCTTCTCACATAGTATTAAATTCTTCTCACATAGCCATCAGTAATTCTCATTTTTCATCTCTTCAAAATCAATTGATGGCTATAAATTTATGAATTTGAAGACTGTCTTAAGTAGCTGTTCTCCAAGTGGACTAAACTATCTCAACAATAACTCATTTTTACTCAGAACAGTATTCACTAACACAGTAAATATGTTTACATCTTCACCACATGCTCTCTATTTTTGGTAACAATTATAATACCAAGTCAAAACAGCTCTTGTTATTTGTATTCAAATCTCAAATAAATCATTTTAAGGTACCTCGCTAAAGTAAATCTTAAAACACATGCATTTTCATAAAGCATACAACATCACTATGCTTTATGTTTTATAGTGAGAAATGTTATTAATAATTAATATAAAAATATAAATTAAATTGACTATCTTAGAAATAAACAGCTTACCAAAGTGGATCAGTCATAGTAGCCTCATCAAAAAAGAAAATATACAGGCTAAAAACTCCAACCAGTAAAGAATGGCATGTGGACACTACCCTGAAATGAAACAAAATACAAAGATTTCAGATTGTTGGAAATAAATTTTAACTCATTCTGGCAAGATATTTAACATTCTTAAGGCATTCCATCTAGATTCACTTAAATATTGTAGCGGAATACATCTGAGATTGTAAGACAAAATTGCCATTTAGAAATCCAAGGGCCACAGTTTACTTTGGAATTAATGACAAAGAGAATGCACATATCTGCAATTCCCTGCTAGAAAACTGAGGAATTATTTCATGGTGAAGAGCTCTAAAGCAGAAGCAAATGAGATAATGAGGTTGATGGTGTTTTGTACAGACAGATGGCAACTGGTAAGCTCCACTACACAGTGCCCTGCTCCCAGCTCCATCTCCAACAGTATCACTGCAGGTAGAGTTCCCTGCTCTTTAGGAAATCCATTGGGAATGCTTCCAAAGCTATTGGCCTTAACCACTTCTTATCCTCAAAACAGAATTCAGATGGATGATGAAATGAAAATATACTACCCTGGAGATGTCAGTTTTAAATGTACTTCCACATGCATTATTTTACATGATTTTTCTAACAAAGCTGTGAGAAAGCTAGGGCAGCTATTATTAATCCTTCTTTAAAAGTATTATGAAAGCACTTATAAATAGAGAAATTGAGGCCTGCATACAGAGAATCCACTTTTAAAAAAAACATTCAAGTGACAGCAAAATATTCACAAGATCCAGGTCCAGATTTATTTTATAGAAGGAATAAAGTTTAAATGAAAAACATCTGTTTCTTTGAACACATCCTGCTAATTAATAATTTAATGACTCAAATAATACCCAAACTCTATGACGTGCCACTTAAAGAACTATATACTTAGTTCCTGTGTGAAATTTCTTAATCCAACAATTTTATCCACAGAGTTAAGTGTTTCTATTCAACAATTTAGGATTTCTCACAGTAATGAAGTTTCTTTTCTCCTCATTAGAATAAAAGATAAAAAGGAATAGCAAAGCCTTCTCTCCAGGAATTACTGGTGTGCAATAAATTTCTCTCTACAGTATGACCCCAAATCTTTCAAAATAACTGGAATACTTCTACCAAAATAAAGTCTGATGTTAGAAAATCTGATTATAATGTGAAAAGCCAATACATTTGATCTGATAGATGTGTTCAAAATAGATGAGTATAATCATATTAAATCAAATGTTATTTTTGAAGGCTCAAAGAATCTCAGTAATTTAAATGCATTGACAAAGAATCCTTTGTAATACCAAAGGATCATTTTGAAGTGTTAATAATTAACCCAATTTATCTGATTTACAAGTCTGGAATCTTCATGCTAAGCACCTGTAGTCTATTTAGAACAGAAGAATAAAAATGTAAACTCTTTGATGATTACGTGAACACTTCATCTCAATAACCCTACAGCCAGCTTTTGCTTGCTACTCAAAAATTCTACCAGAGGAAGAAATAAATAAAAAATTAAAAAAACAAACAAAGCCTCTTTTACTAGCCAGTGTTAGAGTTCAATAATCTTAAGTCAAAAGGTTTCCTTTCAGAAGAAATCTAGCTCTTTATTCCTGATACTCAGGCCTCAAACTCTCTTTTCTGTTGAGATGGTATATGGTAAATGGGATGGATTACAAATCCTCAGCTGACAAAAATAGCATATAATTCATTAGAACCAAACCAAACCAAACCCACTGTCAGTTCTGACTCATAGCAACCCTGCTGGAGGAGCAGAATGGACAACAGGATTTCTGAGGCTGTAAACCTTTATGGAAGTAGGCTGCCTCATCTTTCTCCTGCAGAGCAGCTGGTGGGTTTGAACCACTGACCTCAGTTAGTAGCTAACTGCTTAACCGCTGTGCCAGCAGGGCTCCTTTTAATCCATTAGAGGGCATAGGCCAAATAGCTCCATTATAAGGAACAGGAGAAGTAGACATCCCGTGCTCACATATACCCCATGTATTGAAAATCTATACTTTGACATTGCTCTGTTAGTAAAAATTTCCTGGCAAAGTAAACTGCTAATTTCTCAGTGTCCAAAAGAAATAGCAAAATGCTATCTGATACGGGTTTATTCATGCCCCAAAGAACATGTTTTAAAACCTAACCTTGTGGCCTGGGATTATAACCCCACAGGAAGGGGTTGTCTGTGTTATGATAATGTGGCAGGATTAGGGTAGGTGCATCTTGAGTCAACATCTTTTGAAATATGAAAGAGATTAAACAAACAAACGAGCAGAGCAGAGATGGGGAAGAGAGACATCAAGTCATAAGAACACTGCCCAGGAGCAGAAGCCCAGGAGGCAAGGCCCTTCCTCCAGAGCCAGCAGCGAGGGAAAGGCTTTGCCTAGAGGGGGCACCCTGAATTCAGAATTCTAGCCTCCTTAACTATGAGAAAAAAATTTCTGTTTGTAAAAGTCACCCACCTGTGGTATTTCAGTTATAGAAGCACTAGATAACTAAGACAATGTTCAAGATAAAATATTTCAATTTTTTCCAAAGAAGATTAAAAAGAAATGTTTGTGCTTATAGAGACATTGGCTTTCTAGGAAATGACTGGTGAACATTTTAGAAGAGCTTTTTAAAGTCACTGATTTAACCATTCACAAATAGTCTGAGTGTTACTACCCATAGAAATGATACAGCTCAAATAAACAGAAGTGTTAAGTTTGGGAGCAGAAATTTTAAAATTTAGGAGTATTTCAACACAACAGGATGTTCTAAACTATATGACAACAACAATAATTGAAAAATTTAAATATAAACTTACATTTATATTTATAATCTACAAATATGTATGTTTTCAGAAAAAAGTAACAATTAAACACAACGTCTCATTTATAAGTAAACTGTTAGCCCCCAAGTGTGCATTTTCCAGTGAGGTTTTTCCTCCTATCCTTTTTCTTTTCTATTAGGTGGTTTAAACCATCCAATGTTCAAAGACTTTTCCCTAATTACGGGGAAGAACTACGTGTATTGTGTTGATTCTGTTTCAAGACTGGAGGCTGGACTTCAAGACACAATTGTGTACTTTACTCAAAAAGCAGCCAATTTTTTCCTACTTGCATTCTCTTGTACCCTTGGTGGTATGGTGGTAAGCACTTGGCTGCTAACCAAAAGGCCGATGGTTCAAACCCACCAGCATGGGAGAAAGATGTAGCAGTCTGCTTCAGTAAATATCTACTGCCTTGGAAACCTTACTGGCAGTTCTACTCCATCCTATAAGGTCATTATGAGAGGGAATCAACTCAGATGGCAGTGGCTTGAGGTTTTTATTTGGTTGCATTCTCCACCTCATAGTTGAAGTGGGAAGCAGAATTAACACTAAACTATCGGTTCAAACCCACCAGCCACTCCTCGGAAGGAAGGTTGGGCAATCCTACTTCCATAGTGATACTGCCTCGGAAACCCAAGGAGGGGTCGCTATGAGTCGGGTCTGACTTGATGGCACCTAACAACAACAACAACATGAGAAATACAAAGACAGAGACAGTGACAACATACCATTGAATAGCTAAATGAATTTTACATAATCGCAGGCTTCTTTTTCAAATGGGAACTCGGTTTCCCAAATGGTAATTCCCTGTAGTGTAGAATGGAAGTGATAAGACTAAATAATGTAAAACATTTTCTAATGTCATCATTTTGTTTCATTTTTATGTTTGTTTCTCTCTATATATACCTTCCCTATTTCTTTTGACTTTCAGTTACTCAAGATTCAAAATCTTTAACCTACTCTACGAGAAGGCTGGCGGTTCAAACCCACCAGCCACCCCTCAGAAGGAAGGTTGGGCAATCTACTTCTGTAGTAATACTGCCTCGGAAACCCAAGGAGGGGTTGCTATGAGTTGGATCTGACTCCACGGCAGTGAGAACCACAGTGAAAAAGCAACAGAGAGCTCAAAATTCAGTAGCAGAAATTGCATGCCCCCTCCATTCCACTCTTCCTTCTCTTTTCCTCCATTCCATCTATCTTCACATGTCAGAAAGAGTTTAAAGGAAAAAAAAAGTTAGTACCTTTATACAATGTGCGCTGTTCTTAAGACAAAAGAATCGTACCTCTTAATTTTCAAACATATGTGGAGAAATATAGTTCATACTATAGCATGTATGAACCAGACAAATCAGTGTAATGTGCACAAGAAAACAACTCACAGTATGAGTTATAAAAGTAGATGCCTGAAAGGTAGAAACAGGATAAACCTTCAGCCACAGATGGATGGATAAATAAAACGTGGTACATACATAAATAGAGTATCACTCAGACACTGAGAGAAATGAAGTCCTGATACTACAACATGGACAAACGTTATGCTGAATGAAATAAGTAACCAAAAGGACAAATATCGTACGATTCTTACTTACATGAAATATCTAAAACAGGCAAGCATAAAGAGATCAAAGTTTACTAGTGGTTACCACGAGCAGGCGAGATGGAGCAGGAAAGCAAGACGCAATGCTTAGGAGACACTAAGAGTCTTTAAAGGGTGATGGGAAAAATGTGGACTGGTTACTGATGTGATGGTTGAACATGATGAACACATTTAATGTCACTGAACTATACATGTGAAGACTGCTGAAACAGCATATGTTTTGTTACCTATACACTTACCACACACACACACACACAAAGTGGATGCTGGCAAAACAATTTGACTCAAACAAAGATAGGGAATTTCAGGTCAAATATGATCCTTCTCAAATACTTAGGCAGCTGGCAGGAGTTCTTTAATTTTAAAAAAGAAATGTCAATGAAAAACAATTACAGCAATTTTAAAGAGTCGATGAACTCGTTTTATAGTCAGCATTAACTTCAACCAAATAACAACCAAAAAAATTCCCACAGCTGCTACAATTCACTGAGGTCTGCAAATGCACAGCACTACTGGAGCACAGGAATGGCTTTAAAGTAGGTGATGCACTCATCAGAGTCATTTTGTGTTTGAAATCTTGTGAGAAATTGAGTTGCAGGAAAAAAAATGTGTGTAGTCAATTTATTAAAAAACTCAAACAGATTTCTACATCCTTAGATACCCTGGTGGTTTTTTGTTTTTGTTTTTCCATTTTAAAAAATCTAAAAAGCACTTTAGAATTACATAGCAAACAAAAATATATGCTAGAGGGCTCTGAATCGTAGTGAAAAGTCTACTGAAAGAGAGATACAGATACACTGATCATGGACTGTGTAGTTTAACTGCCCTAAGCCAATCAATTCTAAATATAATGCCAAGGAGTGTTTTCTTCCATTACTATTTCCAAAGAACATGTGTTTGTTACCTAAAATATTTCAGAAAAGAATGCAAACATTACTCTTAACTAGGCAACTAGTATCTAACACTTTAATCTTACCATTATTCCCCAGAAAGTTAAATAATTTTTCTTAACACCTTTCAATATAAGAATTTTTACAAATGTCTTATATGACATCTACTTGTCTTTCCTTTTATTCCTATGGTCAAATTAAAAAAAAAAAAAAAAAGTGACTTTAGATTTTGTTACATCCCAAATGAAAAAAAAACCTCCTTTGAGATATAGAAACAGCTATTTTACATCACCAAACTAGCTTTTAAATTAATCAGTTACACTGTTATAAGCTTTACCTTGAGTTCCATTCAATCTTCTTTTCAAAGCTGAGACTATTAAAACCTGGCGAAACTTTTGCTGAAAACCAAGAACTTACAAAGTGGAAAAGGAGCTGAAAGATGATAATGCTGGTGAAGATAGTGCTTAGTTTAGTGATGGCGTCCATATTTCTTTAATCTGTGAAAAGAAATGATGCATATAAACTGCTATCTCATGAAAATCTACATTAAAAATTTCTTAAATTTTAAAGAGAATGTATTTTTAGTAATCATTTTTAATTCAGCACAAATGTAAGAATACAAAGAAACTATAAGAATTTTAAGCCTTTTGTATTTCTTCGCCTTGACCAGGTATTTGTCATGCCACTTTACATTTGTATTTAAAACAAAAGGAGAAAAAAAACCTATTCTCTTAAAGATCTTAATGTTATAAATTTTAGAAGACAAAATTATCCAAGATTTAGAATGTAACAAAGAGAGAATATGAAGCACTATAACTGAAGATATCCTCTCAGTAATATTATTTTTCATTAAACTTAGAGAAAACCACCTGATTTCTCTATGCTTAAGAATAACATAGTCTTAGAAAAGAACCATACTACTGTTGCTGCTACTTAAATTAGTATTTATCTTTTAAAAATTATTCTGTAGTCACCAAAAATCCTCCACGGTTTTTCCTCTGAAGTTTTTTTTTTTTTTAAAGAGCTGCAGTTGTTATGGATAGCATTAGAGGAAAGAAGAGTAACATGCATATATCCACACTCATACTGTCTATCATTGTGCTGAACTTTATATTTGGTTCCTAAGAACCTTAGTAACATTCAGACCAAAAAAAAAAAAAAAAAGGTACGAATGCATTTGCTCATACCCAGCAAATAGACCATTTCTATGGCTCCATCTTTGATGGAGCTGACCCTCAAATGAAAAGGAAATGAATCAATACACATTTCCAGCTGCTTAATGTGAAGAAATAAAGTCACCTACTGAAGCATATTCACTAGAGAAAAACCAAGTCATTGACTGCACTAGCAATAAACCCACTCCATTCCCTTCCAACCAGGATATCATAATAAGAATCAGTCTCCCACAGGGCCCCTCCTGACAGAGTTCATGTGTCTGTAATGAATGTTTTCCTCAATTTCTTTCTCTCTTTTTTTTTTTTTGGTGGTGGTGGTGGTGGAAGCTTGGTAAAAATACAGATATTACAATTCATTTCTTCTCATTGAGACTCTATTAACAATATTGCTCATCTACTTTTGTTTTTAATTTAACACATGTTGATTGGGTATTAAAAAATTTAATTTGTGGTCCTTTTGCCTAAGTTTAATATTAACCAAATAATACATGTACATGAACATGAATTAAATATCATCAAAATCCACTAAGTGAGGTATAAAGGGGAAAAATATTTTTCTAAGATTAATCAAATAGGGGTTTGGAGGCCAGGGTAGGGGGCAGATAAATGAAGAAAATGAAACCAGTAATCAGAACAGAGTGGAAAGTCTATTCTTAACTGCAGGGATGGTTTCCTCTAAAGGGTTTTACCTGATAACCTGCTGGGCCTAGAGTGGGGCTAGGCACAGGCTGCTCATTCATTTTCCCTAAAATTCAATGTATATCATGAGCATTTATTTCATAAATATTTGTTAAAAGTTATGCTATGAAACATTTACAAATAAGTATCATGCAATATGCATTTTATGAACTGTTATTTTAATTAATCCAGTAAAAGGCAATCAATTCACCATTAATATATTCATCATCCCTTCTTCCTCCCCAAAAAAAGTTTTTTATTCAATCTTTGTTATACTAGATAAAGATGTTATGTTTTCAACAGACTTACTTGCAGTTAAGTCTTTGGGGTATATGTTGAGAGTCTCCCTTTACAAAAACGCCTCATTTAAAACTACATAAAGAGTTCCATATATTCAAGTTGTGGGTTCCAAAAAACTCTCAACACAAACAGAAGCTAATGAAATTGTTTTACTCCTAGCTTTGCTTCTTACTAAGCAGCTGCTTGCTTAATCAGTCGTGCCAAAGTAAAGACTAATCTGAGGACTTTTCACAAATTTCCCTAGAAAACAATGCTTCTGGAAAGGAGAAAAAGTTCATTCACTTTAGGAGACTGAATCAGGCAAGGAAAATGGTAAAAAGAAAAGAAAAGATGTTCAGTGCTAACAGATTAAGGGTCTTTGAGAGTTTGGTGATTATTGGATATAGGAATACCTAGTAAACGTAGAAAACCATTGGAACTAATTCATACACCTCTATATGTAGCTAGTAGCTGGCAGAAGGCTGGGATACGAGGTGTCCTAGAAAGAAGCAGCTGAAACAGATACGAAAAATACTTCCTTGGCAGTTTTACAAGGGGAGTTTCTAAACATGAACTTCACAATATAATTAGCCATTCTGAGTCACAGGAATTATAAACACCCAAGAACTCTTCTAGGGACCTGCTGAAAACCATGTTGTTTGTGCCTTTACCTCCAGTGCAATTAATATAAACTTCAATGTGAGCTAGTTTCTTAGTAGGGAAGAAAATGAAAAAGCTTGATGTACACCTCTCTACCATGAGCTTATGAAAGCCTGTCTCTTCCTGGCACGAGGATTTCCAGGGACAGGGCTGATTCAGTCTTTGCTTCTGCCACAGTTCAGGCAACATTTGTCACATGTCTGCCACCAGTCAGGCACTGCAAGGGTGCCCCAACCCAAAGGAATCTGCTAACAGGGAAGCAGCACACTGAACATCACCACATAAACCTGTAGGGAAGCAGCACACCAAACATCACCACATAAACCTATAAATTCAGGATACTGAGAAGCATGCCCTGCTTTCCAGTTTATAAATAGTCAGCAGAGATAAGTCAAGACTTACCACCAGGTTAAGTCAAAAACTACCAACCTAGGAACATAATAACTATTACTTATATTTTCCCATGTTTGTCATTCCCTTACAATATGCCCTTCCCTAAATTAGGGATCAGAATCACCAATGTAACTACCATAACACAACCAACCACAGCTCTTTCACAATCTGATTCTACCTCACATACCAAAGTACCTCTAGATGAGAACAACCACTGTAGTGTTTAACAATAGACATTCTTAAAAAGAGGTAGAAAGATGTTGTTAGTCTTTAGAGGCAGCAAGTAAGCGGAAGCAGAAAAGAATGTCCCACTCATTCTTAGCATTCTTTTTCCCATCTCTGGTAGCATAGTGCCTAAGGCACTTGACTGCTAACCAGAAGGCTGACGGTTCAAATCCACCAGCCACTCCTCGGAAGGAAGATAAGGCAATCTATTTCCGTAGTGATACTGCCTCGGAAACCCAAGGAGGGGTCGCTATGAGTCGGGTCGACTTGACGGCACACAACAACAACAACAACAGTAAGTTCCCCAGGAGCTCTAGTGGCCTAGTGCCTAAGGCATTTGATTGCTAACCAGAAGGCTGGTGGTTCAAACCCACCAGCCACTTCTCGGAAGGAAGGTTGGATAATCTACTTCGGTAGATTAAAAATCTACTTAGATAAAGAGATTTGGGTAATCTACTCTTTGGTAGTAATACCGCCTCGGAAACTCAAGGAGGGATCACTATGAGTCGGGGTTGTGTCCTTCTTTTTCATTGCCCAACTTTCATGTGCATATGAGGACTGAAAAGACCATAGCTTGTCAGGCATTACATGGCCCAAACGAAACTACACCCCCAAAACAGCCCTTCCTCTAGTTCCATATCTTAGTGAATGACACTGTGATCCAAATGCTTCCCCATCTTCCAATCTAAAACCGCCATGCCTGATTTCTTCCTACTCCTCACTCCTACAATGAGCTGACTACTACAACCTGGTAGACAGAAGAATGCTAAATGAAGCCTAACTTGATTGCAGAGAAATTCTGAAAGTTTCTCATGATAGACTTAGCATGGGCTGCATAAACCAAAATTAGGTAAATACAGAGCCAGATGAACAACTAGAAGCAGAATGTAGATCAATGGTCTGAATGAAGTAGACTTGAGAAATATCTCCTGCTGTTCCATCAGGCTTTCTCTTCTAGATGTCATTTCAGTAAATATTTTTACAGACATGTTTACTTAATCTGCATATGACACAGAGCTGAAAGACAGCTAAAATAATATATAACAACATCAGTTTTAAAAATTATCTGTGTAAGATGAAATAGTGAATCCCAATCAGAAAGATGAAATGCAACAGGAATACATTTTTACAAGGCAACATCCAAGTATAGAACTTAGTGTCTGTATACACATGCATATGTGTACAGACACACACAAAAGATCTTAGCATTATAAGTAATACAAGTCAACAAGAGGTAGCAATGAAATGAAGATACTGAAAACAAAAATCAAGGTTCAGGCTCATTTATAGTTGGACAGTGTGCAAGTATAGCTTTTGATCAAGGTACGTATCAGTCCCACTTTACTGAGGATTAATCACATACCAAAGTATTTTTAGGGTAGAGTAACTAAGAAAGTGATTTTAGAAACCATATCACATCTTGAAGAGTTAAAAAGCTCACTGATGTTAGCTTGGGAACAAGACTACTTAGGGAAGACTTGAGAGAATTCTTCAAACTTTTAAAAACTGCCTTGTGAAAAACAAGAGGGAAATATTCGCCTTACTCAAAATGGCACAAATGGGTAAAAAATACAGGGAGTGAAGAATTCAGCTTACTTTAAGGAAAAACTGTCTAACAATTTAGAAGTGTCCAATATCCATAATGGAAGTGGCAAAAGGATTACTAGGAAAGTTGGTCTGTAGAAGGGTAGGACAATAGTCTGACCTTCAGAGCATTTTAAAAGAAAGATTCTGGGAGTCTAGGATTGATAATTTTAGTGTCTAAAAGATAATTTTGTATTAAATCTATAATAACTTAGTCTATAATTTAAAAAAAAATCAAAATTTCACATGTAAAAAAAATTAAGGGTATGTGACATGGTGGTAAGTGCTTGGGCTCCATCTGGTAGTCTTGAGTTTGAATCCCAGCTCCATCACTCACTAGCTGCATGACCCCAGGCAAGTTACTTAACATGCCTTAACTGACCCTCAGCTTCCTCTTCTGTAAAATGGAGATAACAATAGTACTATCTTAACCACATTAACCAATGCTCATTCAACACTAGAATACTATATGGCCTTTTTGCAGTCAGTAAG